TGTGATTGTTTAAGATGGCAGATTAAGGCTCCTCTGACTGAAAAGCCTTCTTCACACTCTGCCCTCCCATTCCCCTGTTTGTATCTGCCATTCTCAGCTGTATATTTTATCCATCTCCCAGTCCTCTTCTGTCTGTGCCCACTCTCTTTTACCTTCTTACTTCCTTCACAACTTCAACAACACTTCCACCTCCACGCCCCTGGTGCTCACTGTCATTACATCCTTGACTTTTGCTCTCTTTGACAGCCAAGTCCTGATTGTCTTCCTGATGTTATAATTACACCTTACTTGTTGCTGTCGCCTCAAAGAGCTATGATTATCTCAGCAAACTAATCATCCATGTAGATATGAGGAACAGATGCTTGCCAAGTCAGAAGCTGTCAGTCAAATGCAAGCAGCCCAAAGAGTTTCTGAATGAGGGGAGGGTGGGTCATGATAGAGAAACATAAATGCTCCTGCCTATTGATGCATCATGCGTGGCTTTTTGGTGTGTATCCCACTTGATGCACTTTTTTAAAATAAAAATCGCAGTGACAGGTGTAATCACAGCGGTTGGGTTACACCAGCACTTTTGACAGATCTGTCATGTTTAGATTTTGGAACATGCTTCAGTACCACTAAGAAGCAGAGATCAGTCATGGAAGATCTTAGGTTTCATTTGGTTTAAGATCATGCTGTTAACACCCTCTCTGTATTCTCACTTCACTGATGTGCTATTCACAAAAACCTGTCACTAGAGACCAAGAGGCACAGAAATCGCAGCCGCTCTTTATTAACGTATGTCCTTCAGTCAATTTCCCACAGTTTCACAGTTGTCCACTGAATGGGTATAGCCAGATTTAGACTTGTACATCACTTCACATATTGGAACATATAAGGGGTGTGACAAGATCTCATGCTGTTTTTTCCCAACCAGAAGCCCTGGATAAACAGTCAGGTACGTCACATGCTGCGTGCTCGCTCTCATGCATTCAGATCAGGCAATGAGACGGAGTACAAAGCTGTGAAGTACAGACTGAGGAAAGCCATCACAGCGGCCAAGAGGCAGTACAGAGAGAAGCTGAATGGCTTCTATTCTACTGCTGACTCCGGACGGATGTGGCAAAGCCTGCAGCACATCACAGACTACAGGACCACCACCAGCATCATCAGCTCCACAGACAGCCTGCCAGATGACCTCAACATCTACACCCGCTTTGAGACCTCCAGCCACAGCACAGAGAGGAGCCACACACACACCGAGACCACCGAGCCGCCCACCTCCCCTTCACTAACTGTCTCACCAGGCCAGGTACGAAAAGTCCTGAGGAAGACCAACCCCGCAAAGTGGCAGGACCGGACAACATCCCTGGGAGGGCTCTCAG